TGGCGCTTAACAAATCTGCATACTAAATTTAACTTTTTAAGAAGTCCAATTATTTTTTAGATTTTTCACAAATTTAACGATGTAACCCCTTACAATTTTTGTAAAAATTGAAAATGTCTGTTTTGCTTCCTGAGATGGCCAGAAAGATTCGCCTGTTAATGCTGATCAAGAATATATATGATTTATAGGGTCGGAAATGGCTCCTTCACTGATTAAAATTATATTTTCCTCTGCAAGATTCTTGAAATCGAAATTTTCACTTAATAATTTTGTAGATATTTTGGGACAGTCAAAGTTTAAAAATCGCATAACTTTGTTAAAAATGTATTTATTTCAATTCGGAAACCGCTCCTGCGTTAGTTGCTTGGCGCTTAACAAATCTGCATACTAAATTTAACTTTTTAAGAATCCAATTATTTTTTAGATTTTTCACAATTTAACGATGTAACCCCTTACAATTTTTTTAAAAAATTGAAAATGTCTGTTTTGCTTCCTGAGATGGCCAGAAAGATTCGCCTGTTAATGCTGATCAAGAATATATATGATTTATAGGGTCGGAAATGGCTCCTTCACTGATTAAAATTATATTTTCCTCTGCAAGATTCTTGAAATCGAAATTTTCACTTAATAATTTTGTAGTATTTTGTAGTATTTTTTGGGACAGTCAAAGTTTAAAAATCGCATAACTTTGTTAAAAATGTATTTATTTCAATTCGGAAACCGCTCCTGCGTTAGTTGCTTGGCGCTTAACAAATCTGCATACTAAATTAAACTTTTTAAGAAATCCAATTATTTTTTAGATTTTTCACAAATTTAACGATGTAACCCCTTACAATTTTTGTAAAAAATTGAAAATGTCTGTTTTGCTTCCTGAGATGGCCAGAAAGATTCGCCTGTTAATGCTGATCAAGAATATATATGATTTATAGGGTCGGAAATGGCTCCTTCACTGATTAAAATTATATTTTCCTCTGCAAGATTCTTGAAATCGAAATTTTCACTTAATAATTTTGTAGTATTTTGTAGTATTTTTTGGGACAGTCAAAGTTTAAAAATCGCATAACTTTGTTAAAAATGTATTTATTTCAATTCGGAAACCGCTCCTGCGTTAGTTGCTTGGCGCTTAACAAATCTGCATACTAAATTAAACTTTTTAAGAAATCCAATTATTTTTTAGATTTTTCACAAATTTAACGATGTAACCCCTTACAATTTTTGTAAAAAATTGAAAATGTCTGTTTTGCTTCCTGAGATGGCCAGAAAGATTCGCCTGTTAATGCTGATCAAGAATATATATGATTTATAGGGTCGGAAATGGCTCCTTCACTGATTAAAATTATATTTTCCTCTGCAAGATTCTTGAAATCGAAATTTTCACTTAATAATTTTGTAGTATTTTTTGGGACAGTCAAAGTTTAAAAATCGCATAACTTTGTTAAAAATGTATTTATTTCAATTCGGAAACCGCTCCTGCGTTAGTTGCTTGGCGCTTAACAAATCTGCATACTAAATTTAACTTTTTAAGAAGTCCAATTATTTTTTAGATTTTTCACAAATATAACGATGTAACCCCTTAACAAATCTGCACACTACGTTTAACTGATGAATACAAGGTTTTCCATTTCTAGTTCTCTATTCCATATTCAATATTTTTAAACATTCACACTTTAGACTATTGAATAGCGGAGTTCCAATGTCTAAGGACAGCTGTAAATGAATAATGAATGCAATTCAGCGAAAAATATATTCAATTCAATTTCGATGCGTCACTCGAGCGCCGCGTTCGTCGCTCATTAATTTATGACAGTCATTTTTAACGCTTTGCTGCCCACGCTGCCCTGCAAGTGACAGTTGATGCTGCTCCCTGCCATGCCCCAGCCCCGCCCACCCACACTGCCACCCATTCGCACTCGTCCTTGCCGCCCCCAAACCCATTGCATGCGTCAAATATCCAGAGCCATTTTTCAATTGAATTGAATGAATTTCTGAATTGACTGCATGAATGTGCCGGAGCCATTCGGCAACGACGATGTCGACTCTTGGCAAACAGGACGCGGAAAAAGGACACGCGCCTATGACTAACTGGAAATGTTGTCGTTAACTTTAGTCTGATCGAGAGCATTGCCTAGGACATCAAGGATCAAATCGGGATAAGGTTTTTAAATATTTAAACTTATTTTATAGTCACTTGAGTGAATGCCAAACTCAAAAGGTATGACATATATATTTCCCTTTCTGGTTATACAAAATTCGTTACACTTCCACTAGTTTGGCAGGGTATTCCCCGTTTCCAATGCCTTTAAAAAATCTCAATTATTCCGACTTGTTGTAGCCGGAATGATTTGTGTTTGGCCTCTTTGTTGACGGGCGTCGAGGGCAGAGACCACGGCGAACGGGCCATTTGGCCGGGCTTAGAGTGGCCATATTTCATGCTCCTCTGATGGGCCTTGTCAACGTGGGTCCATCCCGTCCCCTTCCTGCTGATCCTTCTCCTTGTGCTCCAAGCATGGGCCAGACATTACACTTTAATTAACTGCAAATCCACTGCAAATGCATTTTCTCCTCTCCACATTTCAGGCTAATAAAACATTCAAAATATATTTTTGTCGGCTCGTTTCTTAGCCGGAGGAGTGTGTAATTTTGCACATTTCATATGAAAAGTTGGTGGGCTCACGCAAAAAAACTTTTACACTCAGGCTTCTGGTAGTACAGTGGGACTAGAAGGCTAATTTTAGAGCACAAAATAAGGTATCTCAACATGGGAAAGAATTTTAGAAAAGAGTCTTGCTTAGAACTAAAGACTTTGTAAGACAAAATTATAGCTCTTTATATATGTTTATTTATAATGAAGTAATTAAAATTAAGGTCTAGATAAAATAAGGAAGTATTTCAATAAATATAACAAAGTTAATATTGAAAAATTTAATTATTTAAAACTATTTTAAAGCATTATTTCAACACAATTTAGTTGGATTTGTTTATTGCAAAGCTTTTAGGCACCATAACATTTCATTTTTGAACAATTAAAAGCCTTTGAGGAGTAAAAAAAGTATGCTAAATATTAATATATATAAAGTTATTATTTAGTAACTTAATAATGTGTATAGTTACTCTTAAATTTAATTTTTCAATCTTCAGAAAATAGGTTTGCTTTCATGCCATCTTGAAATTTATAGTGTCATTTAGTTTACTTAAGTGCAAGGGAGTTAATTTTCATTTTGTAAATTAGTGACTATATTTAGGCTTTAATAAAATTAAGTATTTATTTGTTGTAGGTATACTTACTTGTTGTTTTTCCAAAAGAAAAACCTTGAGAAACATTGATGTTTCTCCCCTCTACTTCTTTGTATAAAATCCCAGAAATGCTTAAATATTTCCTTATATCTCTTATACCCAAAACTTCCAGAAGTTTCAAGTAAATCAAAAATAATATATAAAATCTTGATTTGCAACTCGACACACCGTGCACAAGAAAAGTTTCTTTTGCCAAAGATTAACAGAACCCTAACTAACAGAGAGAACGAAAGAGAGCCCAAACAAGAGCGGGGGGGCTAATACAGGACGAAAAGGATACTGGGGCAGCTGAAGGTAGAGATGGTGATGGGGATGTGTGCGTGTTTCTGGCGGCGCATGTTTGGCAATGCGGTAAACCAAATTATGTGCTTAGCAAGTTGCCGCTGCGACCAGAACCACACCACCGCCACCCAACCAGAGAGCTCCACTGTGTGTGTGATCCTTTGTGTGCAGGATGCAGGATGCAGGATGCAGCTGCATTTGCACAGTACCCCCTCCCTACCCAGCCCCGTCTTCACCCCTTCTTTGAGTCGCTCCTTGCACTTGGCCGATTTTCCTGGTGCTGGTGGGTGCCACTGAAACTCTTTGCACAGGTGTTTCCAGCAACTTTCTGGCAGGTGCTGCACTGCCTCAGCATGATTGCAAACTTTTCTTCTTTCCCTTCCCCCCACAAGAGAGACCAATAGAAATCCGAGGCTTTACTCGCCAGACACAAGCCACAAGATATGCCAATACTTGTACTTACTCATTGTTTAGTTTCGAAACACGACAAATGACAACCAAACTGGGACCTAGAACTATACTCAAATGATAAATGTAACTGGAGGTGAAGTTTCTTATAGAAATATGGGTGCCTTATAGGAAATGTCATATATCTACAAACAAATCGCGTTCAATATCATGTAGATAATATTAAATGCTTTGATATATCAAATATATAACGAAGATAGCGCTTTTGAACTTTAAATCAAACGTTTAAGTATTCATATTATCGAAAGGTATTATCTAATATATCCTAAATATAACACACTTTGATATATCTAATTTATTATTTTAAATACCGAAGATATCATATTGAAACGTTAAATCGATATTATTTAAAAGAATCAAAGTCTACAAATATTTATGAAAATATTTGCTCTCTTTTCCTCTTTAAAAAATCATTCATAATAAAGTTATATTGCACATTTATTGAAACGTTGATATTAATGATTGATATTTATATATATGAATATCGCATTTAACATTTTCTTATCGAAGTGTAATTATCAATTAATTTGTCTCAATTATATGGCTTCGATATATCAAGGTGAATAACGTTTTATCACAATTATATGGAAATGCTAAAAAATCGATTTAACGTCTGTATCCAGGCATCGATCCTACCTCACTTTCATTTTGGGGATTTGGTTTATTGATGTGCTTCATATATATTTAAATATAAATTTGATAGTGAAATATATATATAGAAAATAATTTAAGTTCTTGGGAGCAGAGAATTCATATTAATTGAGAACTATAGAAAGACGTCTCATTAAATTCTATTTTTAACAGAAAGCAAAAAAATATTTCAATATAATCAGACCTTCATGGCTATAAGATCTCTTTCCAAGTGAACATATAATGTAATTAATTCAAGCTCATTGCTGTTTACTTTCCCCTCTCGAATTTTTCCACCAGTTTCGCCATAAATAAAACGACTTTGGTTGAGAGTGTCATAAGCGTGTTTACATAGCGTACAAAAGGAAATTCAAAATGCAGTATCAGGCCATGAGCATGAGCGTGAATCGGTTTAGGGATTGGGATTGGGATCAGGTTCGGGATTAACTTGGTTTTGCTGTAATGAGACCCTGGCCTCAGGCGAAGCGAAACATCTGGGAGTATAAGATCAAGTTAATATACATGATAGTGGACATGGCGATGAGCGCGGCCAGGCGGTATCATTTCTTCTTGGCATCCTTGAGGCCAGCGCCGGCGTTGAACTTGAAAAAGATGATGTCACCGTCCTCGACGGTGTAGTTGCGTCCCTGTTGGCGGTACTTACCGGCAGCCTTGGCATTTGCCTCGCTGCCCTCCGACTTGAAGTCCTCGAAATGCATCACTTCGGCCATGATGAAGCCGCGCTCGAAGTCGGTGTGAATGCGTCCGGCGGCCTGGGGAGCCTTTGTGCCCTTCTGGATGGTCCAAGCCTTCACTTCATCCGGTCCAGCGGTGAAGAAGTACTCCAGCTGCAGACCCTTGTAGCCGGTAACGATAATCTTCTCCAGCTGGCTCTTGCACTTCATCTCCGCCTCGTATTCCTTGCGCTCCAGGTCGTCCTTCTCGCTCAGCACTTGCTCGAAGGCCCCGGAGAAGGGGATGAGCAGGGCTCCGGGATCGTTCTTATCAATCCACTCCTTGATCTTCGGCAGCCACTTGTTCTTCTTTCGGATGAAGTCCTTGTCGGAGAGGTTCACCAGGTAGATGACCGGTTTGGAGGTCAAGAACAGATACTTGTTCAGCGTTTCGATCTGAAAGGGAAAGAGAAAGAGAGGGCTGACATTAATAAGAGCGAGAGAGAAAGATTGTGCTCATACTCACATCGTGGGCATTCCAATCCTCGAAACGCAGGTGACGCTTCTGGTCAACCAGAATCTCCTTGATCTTCACCATCGAGTCATATTCGGGCTTCAGCTTCTTGTCACCGCCGCGGGCCACCACCTTCTCCAGCTTGTCGAGGCTCTGCATCAGCTTCTCCTCGTCCTTGAGACGCAGCTCCTCGGAGATAATCTCCAGATCGCGCACAGGGTCAACCTCACCCTCCACATGGGTCACATCCGGGTCCTCGAAGGCGCGGCACAAATGGAAAATAGCATCGCAGGCGCTGATGTGCGAAAGGAAGTCATTGCCCAGGCCCTGACCCTCGGCGGCTCCCTTGACCAGGCCAGCAATATCCACCACATTCAGATAGGCGGGCACAATGCTGTGGAATTGACAGTTATCATGTTTTAATTTAGTTTCCTCAAGATTTCGAATATAAACCTCTTAACTCACCTGGCCGGCTTGTGGAAGTCCACAAGGTAGTCGAACCGCTCATCCGGCACCGGGACGCGACGTGGAGGCAGGGCAAAGCGAGGATGGTCAGCAGAATGGAACATGGAAGAGATCGAGAGGGAGAGACGCATGTTAGCTGGGTTTGTTGGCCAGATTGGCAGCCCGGCAGCATCGGCGGCCAATCATGGCAATTTTGTGTAATTTTGCCCCATCCGCGAAAGGGGAGGGGCAGCAGGCACAAGCAGCAAGCGAAACCAAAATGAAGTCGCTCACAAATAAAATGCCCAAGAAAATGAAACCGAAGCGAACCGTGGAGGGCGGGGGCAATTTGCATATTGCAAACTGGGAACTGGATCTGATAAAATTGCTAAGGCCGCGACACGCCCTCAATGACGGAATACAGGCGCTGCTAACTAAATGGGACTAAAATCACAGATTTAAATTCGGTAAATTAAGCTAACAATCTTACTAAATCAGAGAAAAATACAATATTTTTAGTCATAACATTAACTACTCTTTTATCTATCTATTTTATGTCATTTGTGTTCAAGTCCCTTCTTTTTGTATTATTTATAACGACTTTCTTCTAGTTCTTTCGTACTTAAATATTATTCAAAAAGATATAAAACACCTAATAAACTAATTGAAATAGTAAATTCTGGGATTATGTTTACAATGCTTGCTGCAGCTGTGAAAATGTTTTATTTATTAAATTTATTCATTTTAAAAGCCTTTCTCCTTTAAGTTACTTATTTGGCGAGATTATTGTGTAGGCAATAAGTGTCCTAAATTAAATTAAATTGATTTGAAACATTGAAATTAGTACTCTCGCTCTTTGCCTAGAGGCCCTTCTGTTTTACACATTTTTAGAAAGTAGCATTAGCGGGATAACTAACTTTATATTCTACAGGTTATTGTCATTATCTAAACGTATTTGGAACCTTCTAACATAAGAAACTCAAGGGTTTCTAGACACTAAGAGCATAATATCTATATCTGAAGACTTTCTAGAGTTTATTGAAGTTGAAATTACCGAATCTGATTTATCTTTGAACTGTTAAACCTTTTCTTCATAAAAATAAGACCTTAAGGTTCAACACTACTTCCTTGACTTTTTCTATATAAAAACACTTGAACACTATTCCTTGCATCAGAATATATTAGCCTTATTATAATTTTGCTTGCACTGAATCGTTTTAACTATCTCACTAGTTAAACTTTCCTCAATTTCGGTATTATCTTTCATTATTAAACACTTTGCACTTGAATTTCGTTAAGGTTCACTCCTCTGAGTGCTCACTGTCTGGCGATTTTAGAAGGTCCAGCCGAGAGAGCAATTTGGTATTAGAAGCGGCTACGACGACGGCAGCGGCGGAGGCTGCTGCTCCTGGAGGCCATCCCAGAGTCTGGTCGTCGTCGAATAAAATTATATTCAAGCGCTGATTACAATGATCGAGGAAATTGCTCCCGCCCGCAGCAGCAGCAGCAGTAATTGGTTGCATATACATATATATATGAATATATATATATATATGCATAAAAATATATATATATATTCATATATATATATATATATCTGTGGCAAGAGCAAGAGTAGGAGGACAACTATCATTGGCGGGGATACTTATTATCATTCGGCTTGATGGTGCAGAAGGGGAAGTTCTCCGCGGGAGCAGCGCTCTTGGTGAGGACGTTGAAGAAGGTGGACTTGCCCACGTTAGGAACGCCAACGATTCCGATCCGCAGATTGGTTCCAATCCTACCGATCAGCGGCTTGCGCTCCGGTTCATCGTGCTTCTTCGGCGGCATGTTCTTCACTGATTATCTGTGGAAAGCATGGAGTTTAGTGAATATTTTTAAATATTTCAATTAAATTTCTTTCTATTTTCGGCAGCCGGTCGGACATAACCTAACTTTGTGGGCCGCTTTTCACAGTTTCGCCGATGCACACTTACCTACTGTGGGGCGATGCTCTCCTGGGCAGCTGCAAGTAAGCTAACAATTAACAAATGCCACGACGCACTGTTTAATCCCTTTACTTACCAATATTTACAATTAATTCGCCAACTCTGTTTATCGGCTGGCCTGACGGCGTGGAAGGAAAGAGCGAGAGCGAGCGAGAGAGACGAAGCGAAACAGCTGACGCAGTGTTGCACGCGTGCCAGCGCCCTCGGGCGGCGGTCGGGGGAAACTGGAAACTGCTTCCAGGCGGTTAAGTTCTTGCCAAAGGCGTTAGGAGGCGCCAGCGGGTTAAGCGCGCAATTTAAATTTAAATTTACCTTTGTTGAGCCAAAAACACAAGACTTAGTCTTGGAGTGCGATTTTTGAGACGATAAATATTATTTTCACAGGTCAGGCAATTTCTAATACAATAATTTAGTAAATATTACACTTAAAACCAAGATAACTTGTGTTGTTCAAAGAATTCAATCATATTTTCCCTTCTCTACGACTTAATTTATGAATATAAATTCATTTTGTGGGGGAAGAAATTGGTGTATATTAATTTTAAATATTTTTTTCAGCTTAGAAGCAGAAACAAGCCTAAATAATCCGTGCTTATTGGCCATTAAGGCTTTCTCCAGCCACAAATCCGCTAACAATTTGATGGTTTAATTACCAGAGATTGCTTCCTCTAGAGCTGCATTAACCCATGCTGGCCCCAAAGGCTATCGTTATATACATATAAGTGAGTTACTCTCAAGGTCGACGGGCCGCGGCACGTCCACGCAATTTGGCGGTTTAGTGAAAAGCCCGCAATAATCAATAATTTCGCATAATTAGCGAGTCGGGGCCAAGAGGAGATCCGTCCGATGATCCAGCGGTGCAGCTTTATGGCCCGATGAAACGCAAGCTGTTTGATGGTTGGAACGTCGGGAGGAGGGCGGAGGGCGGTGGACGAAGCCTGTATCCCCGGGATCAGGTTTGTTGATCTTTCGCGATCCCGATGATTGTCGATCGATTTGATTGATTCGAGCGCAAGGCAAGGCCTGGCGTTTATGGCCCTAATTAAAAGATCCGTTATGCGTGATCGGGCCAATACACACACATGAAAACACACACATGTGCGTGCTAGAAAACTTCTTTTGGTATAATTTCACGCTGTCTGCGGTCGTCGGTCATCGGTTCTTGGGCCGTTTAAAAATCCATTTGCAACTGACCCTGGACAACTGGACACTGTCGCTGGAGCATGTAATGGCCACGTAACGTGCCAGGTTTTTTAGCCACAACCACAAGAGGAAATATATTTAAAAAAGAAAACGCTTTACAGATAGCCTGGCTCCTTGAATCCTTGTGGTTTGCCTGCCTGCTGACGATGGCAAAGTCCTTCGAGCAGTGGCTGTGGTTTTAGACACACACACTCTAGGTTCCCTACAACACAAGGATGGATTTTAAAGTCTTCAATTATTATTTATAAATATTTTTGTGACAATTTTTGTACTATAAATAATTGTACTTATAAAGGAATTTTTTATTGATATTTTCTTTTCACTTTTAAAATATTTAATTATTGTTTTGCAGCATTTATAATAAGGATTTGTACTAACTCAGTAATTTTTTGGGTACCAGAAAAATTATTTAACAGAAACGCAAGCTAACTTCGACACACCGAAATTTGTTTTTAGTTAGGTTTTATAATTTATTACAAATCAGTCAAAAGATGGAACATAGTGAAGGAGTCGTTTCCGACCCTATAAATCATATATATTCTTGATCAGCATAAAAAACTGAATCGATTTTGGCATATTCAGGAGAAAACAAAAATTTAAACAATTTTTCAAAATTTTATAAAATTCTAAAACTCAGTATTCAGATTTGTTAGCCCTATAAAAACTAGCACAGAAAAATTATCCGAATTAAAGTAAATACAATTTTGGCTTAGTTATGACATATAGAAAACTTTGATTTACCCAAAAAAATAAGCATAAAATATCAATTTAATAAACCTGGAAAACATATATTTTAGCTTTTCTTGTAGGTATACAAAGACCAAAACTCCATATAATTTCCGAAAAGTCATATATATTTCTATTTGCAATCAAAATCCTAATCTTAGTCCTAAATATTTAACTGATTCCTTCTTTTTGTAAGAGATAAAATCGTTAAATATAAAAGCGAAATGTGCTTGTATCCCAATAAAAGCCAACACAGTTTAGCTTATTAATAATTAATGTATTTTTGACTTAAATAAATGTATACTTTTATTTAAATTATTTATCGATTTATATAGTCAGCCTAAGAATGTATAAATATTTTTATTAGTGGACTTGTAATTGTTGTTGTTCTATGACCTGAATGTGGAATTATATTATTATTTGTTAAATATTTAAATTTATAAATACTACAAGAATTGATAGACCTTATCTATAAAACCTTTCTTTTTAATAATATCTACATATAATTCCAATTTCTTAGAAACGCTCACACTTTGTATATAATTTTCCACACTCCACCAAGGACCTGACCTCGTCGCTTTCCCAAAAATAAAAAAAAAAAATAATGAAAGAATTATTCAATTTCCACCATGATTATTCAACTGCCTGACTTCTTTTGCATATGGCTTGTTGTGGGTTAATTAAGCCAACATTTAATTGCCTTTTATTGCACTTAATTATTGGAGTCGGAAGCAGAGAAGCCCTCCTGGGTCTGGGTCTGGGGAGGTGGAGGTGGAGGAGTAGGAGGAGGAGCTCCATAAATTTGTATACATATGACTGGATAATTGCGGCTCCCGCGGAATTAGCCCAACGAGAGCCACCACGCATTCGCATCCGCATCCGAGGCCCGTCTCGATTTCCACACCCATTCGCACCCACATTACGCGCGGGGCGTGGCTTGAAAGGCAACAGAAAAAAAATATGAAAAAATATTAATAAGAAATAGGGATGGAATCCAGGGGGCAGGTGGAACCCGACCCGGCTAAACCGAACCAAACTGAACTGAATGCATAACATTGGCAGCGGGCTCGTTTCCAGATTGTTGCTCCAATTAAAACAGAAAACAGAAAAAAAACAACACACAACTGGAAAAGCGGCAAAAACAAAAACCACAAGCCAGCCATTCATATTCATATTCATATCCATTTGGCGGCTTTTTATTGCCTTTAATTATAACGTAGGCCAGTATTCAAATTGTTCTGGCTTGGAAAATTTTCAGAAGCAAACAAAAGACTTAGGCAACGAACTCGAATGATCTTCAAGCGCAGCGAATGGCAAGGGGGAGCAGAGAGAGAGGGGATGGAGATGAACTAAGAAAGGTACTAACAAATGGGAATCATTTAATTTGTTTAAAAAAATATATGGTATTAGTATATAATATACATATATAAGTTTTGAATTTGATATAGGAAATACTATATAAATTGGTAGAACAAAAATAAAAGGAACCCCTTTTAAAGAGAATTTTGAGAATAATTTATAAGGAATCATGTAAACTTAATTCAATAAGCTTAATTAATTAAACTAACTAACTAAATTTGTTAATAATTTATATATAATATATAATTATTAATTTATGTAGCTATTATATATCCATAAAGGAAAGCAGGTGCATTTTATTAGGAATTGCTGAAATTTAAAATGGGATATCATTAAAACATCATTAAATAATTTAATAAAAGTCCCATTAATATATGCCGAAAACTGATGAAACTTTAAGTAATTTATAAGAATAATGTAAGCTTAGTATTATAAAATAGTCTTACAGCAAAATATAAGAATATTTATAATTTAAATACTAAAAATAAATCAATTAAAGAAATGAAGAAAGCAAGAGAGATACAATGATAAGATAATAACCTTAAAACAATCATGCAAAATAAAAAAACAAAAATAAAATTATACGAATTATATAAGAATTTGTATGAGTCAAATAATATGTAAATATTTATCATTCAAATAGAAAGAAAACATAAATAACTAAAATAAAAGCAGGAATAAGATTATATTTTACCGAATTTGAATTGATAAATAGAATGTTAAATTAACTAATTAAACCGCTAATTAAACATCTTAATATATCGATATTTATTATTTAAATAATATATATATAAATAAATCACTAAAACAAACGCTTAAAACAAATAATATTCAAAACAATTTGTAAGCTAAGCAATTTATGATATAAGTTTTATAAAACTCATATTGTACAATTGTATATCTAAATAATTATAATTGATATCGTATTTATAGTTTTAGGTCCCAAAAAAAAACAGATCCGATTGCAAGATAATATTTAGACAGTCATTAAAGCTTAATAAAGGTCATATTTAAACAGAAAATCCCTTTTTATAATATATTTATAATAATACTAATGCCACACTAAAGTATATGTTCTTCTAAGAATTTTCATGTTATTTATCAAAGTATTCAATAAGAAACCCCAGAGATCAATGCCATCACAGCAGTTAGCTATTAAAACTAAGTTAATAGACCTCTATTATTCGCAGATATACAATTAGCTTTATCTTATCTATCCAATATCTTCAATATCGGTCGCCATATTCTTTGATGGCCCTCCTCACCTCCATTTAAGATCCTTCCTCCCCCGTGGTCCTCAATTTGCATAACGATCTTGCAACGATCTGGATCTGTGCCGGTATCCATTCCATATACCTTGGCGGCTCCTCTTGGCCATCGTCAAGTGCATCCCATCCCTCCCTAATGGCCGCGACCGTCATGCAAATTGCAACTGCTCTATAACGACGTGCCATCAATGCATCAGCTGCCAAATTACATGTTGCGGGCCACCGAGAGAAATTATGAATTATTAAAAAAGGAAAAACAAAAAAAAAAACCTAAGAAAAAACATAAAAAGAAAGAAAAGTAGGAGTGGGGCAAAGTGCATCATGCAACTAAGACAAGGATCTGCATGAGGATGGCCCAGAGGAAGTGGTGAGGGAAAGGAGAACCTTCTACGTTTTGAGGTTCCAAGGTTCCAAGGTTCCAAGGTTCGAGGTTTAAGGTTCACCCCGTGTGTCATTGTTATAGAAAAAAGCTGACACCGGAACGGGGGAATAAAAAATACATATATTTAGTGTGTCTATGTATATGTATATGGCATTTTTGTGGCAGAGCCAAGGGGAGAGCGTTGTGAAATATACAAAGGGGGCGTTGCCCCGGCCACGCCCCTTGCCACACGGCTCAGAAAATGGAAATCGTAATAAACGCAATAATAATCATGAACTGGGAAAAACAACAATATGCAAGAGATGGCGAGAATAAAAAAGAAAAAAAAAACGAATAACGAAAAACGAAAAACTCACCCTTACCATTTGATTTGTAAACGAATTATAAACACAAAGGTGCAGCACCACCCTTGGCAGCATCAGCAGCAGCAGCAACAGCAACAGCAGCAGCAGCAGCAGCAACA